CTCTCTCTCTCTCTCTCTCTCTCTCTCTCTCTCTTGCTCTGAATTGGGCTGTTGATGTTGTGTGGTTTGTCCATTCATCTTCTTTTTAGTATTACTATAAAACTATTATCCTTAATTTGCTCCTGGTGACATTGACTAGCCATGAACTACTTCAACTACCCTGTTTCAGTTTTTAGCATCTCTCTAAGACTCAGTGGGTTTTGTTCTTGTCACCCATCACAGTAGCTCATGCTGTTGCTGGATTCCTATATGACAGATCAGTAAATGTGATGGTTTTTAGATGTTTTCAGTGATGGGTTTATAGGTGTAGAATAGGAAGCTCATATGTATTCTGTTGATGGTTTGTTCTTGTGTGGGAGGAATTATTGGTAAATGTGATTGTTGAATGTGCTTTTTAATTTGTTTGTTGGCATGTTCAGCTGTTAGTCCTTGAGTATTGAGAGAAGTTCAAATCAAATTGATCCAAGGCTTTTTAGATGTATTTTTCGTTTCATCAAGTATGCAAATGTTTGTAGATTTTTTGTTTCTTTTCTTTTGTTTTGAACGATAGGTCAATGGAACTGCCTGTGCTGTGCCACGTATGATCATTTCAATTCTGGAACAAAACCAGAGCAAGGTAAGGAACAGTTTGCAGACTTACCATTTACAATTGACTCTGTCCAAGACAGTCACCTGTCTAAGACAATCACATGTTTAATGACCCACTGTCCACAATCACCAAGTCTAACGGCTACCTGTCCAAGACAATCACCTGGTCTAACAGCCACCTGTCCAAGACAATCACCTGGTCTAACGGCTAACTGTCCAAGACAATCACCTGGTCTACCAGCCACCTGTTTAAGACAATCACGTGGACACACAACCATTTCCCACTTCCCCCTTTGAGGTTAAAAAAAATATGTAATGATGCTGTCCGGGACATCCACCTGTCTAAGACGAAACCTTTTCTCCTTAACACTGGGTGACGGTTGTGGACAATTTTTACGGTATATTGGCAAGTGTATGGATTCTGTTATCAGCCACTCGTAATCAGGATTTCTGTGTCGGCAGATTTAAACAAGTGCGTGTGCAAATATATTCCAACCCCCCCCCAACATTCTGACTTCTTTCTTCTTCCCATCACTATTTTACAGTGAAAATAGCACAGTATAAGCTCTTTTTTGTTTTGTCTTAACTAACTTCA